CATTGATGTGCAGCCTGTGCAATTAGTTTTCTCTTGGGCTCCGAAACTAGCTAAAAGTGTGAGAGTAAACATTGGTTTTCCTGTGGTGCGGACGGACTGCGGTCGGTCGGTGTACGGTCACGTGATTACCAAATTTTCTGGGATGGGTAGATTTACTTAGCAATGGGGCTCCGCCCACGCGCGCGCGAAGCGCGCACGTGGAGCTCCGCTATAAAAGGTTTACACAAGGTTTCACGCCGGTATAGATGTGCGGCCTGTCACCCCTTGCATTTTCTCAAGTATTTTTGAGTAGACAAATCTCATAAACGGGCCACAAATTCAACAGGAATACGCGCGAACTGAACAAATTGTCTGTTGTACATTTAAAAGGTTCTGCTCAACTTACACAATTTTCCCTTGCTGAACATAAACTGTACCGTGCCGTATCTTAGTCCGCTATATATAAGCTATATCATGGTTCAAATTTTAAACTGTAAGATCCCTGAAAGAGTTCTCCTCAATGGAGCAATATGTAAAAGGTTTTCAAAGGTTTCACGCCGGTGAAGATGTGCGGCCTGTCACCTCAGCTCTTGCAAGTTTTTACCATCTATTTCAAGTTTATTAGAAAGTGCGACAAGTGTTATTGCAAAGTGCGACAGCTTTTTTTACTACAAAGTGCGATGGTCTGTTATTACAAAGTGCGACAGCTTTTTTATTACAAAGTGCGACAACTGTTGTAACAAAGTGCGACAGTATTACAAAGTGTGACAATTTTATTACAAAGTGCGACAGGTATTACAAAGTGCGACAGTACAGCAATTGCTTACAGTTCTTGGATCAGTTTGTTATAAAGAAATGGATTTTTTTGTTTGTGAATCGATATTTGCATCATTGATTATGAATAGAAAACATGAATCGGGCTATTTGCACCGCTTGATAGAGTGATTTTACTTGACCAGTGAAACAGATAGTAACAACTACTGCAACATAGCTACTAGTAAACAAACGAAAACAATGGAATTAGTGCATAATAATGGCATGCGTAGTACTCTACTACCTATTTCACGGGTTAAGTAAAATCACTCTATTTTGAAATTTTCAGATCTCTCTTGACTGGAATTTGATCTTTTAATATCTTCTCTCGAGTAAGTCCATTTAATAATCTGTGATTTTATGACTCATATATAACGACTGTCCTTCACGGTTACAAGTTATCCGCGGAACAAACAATTGCAATTTCTAGTGATAATCACTCTACATTTAACTGCATCTTACCAAATTATATTGCCATCAAAGTGAATTTCCAAATTCAATTCAACCCTTTTACTAGGTAATAGCTCATTTTCTAACATTTCACAAAACATGAATATCGGTTCAAAGGTATCAGGGACACCCAACGAGAATATAGTTCAAAACCACTTAAACATAGCATTGTTAAACATATTTTAGTATTTAAACGGTAGATATGGGCATATTTCTTATCCCTTAAAAATTTTTAATCTGTGCGGATTTCCTAGCTGAAAGTCTAGTGATCTGAAGATTATAGAAATCGAAACTTACCTTTTCGAAAATTTCAGCCAGGAAAAAGCCTCCCGAAAATTCAAGGTGGCCTTTTTAGGGTAAAAATCCGTTAAAAATGGGCAATTATACTATTTTTTAGATGTTCGAAAATCCTAGGAGAGGCAGGCAAGCAAGAAATTTACAACAAATGTTCCCAAAATTCTAGATTTCAAATCGCTTTCCGAACAGATATTTTCCAAAAATTGACGTTGGGTGCCCCTGATACCAAAAAGTGCTTTACGAAGGGAATTAAAACCCTTTATTGTAATTCAGTTAGTTTTAGTTGGTTTTTGCAGCCCGTTCTTCTGCGTTCCTATTAGTATCGAGATAGGAAAATTCATTGGTTGCTGTGCTTTCAGCATAAACTGGACTATACTGGAGCAGATTTTTTATTTTAAAAGCATGATTGGCTTCATTGCAATAGTACACCTTTTTACTATTCAGTTTTACATCAAAATTTTTCAAAAATGAGTAAGATCCATTTACAATACCACTGTGGTCATTTGCGGCAATATTGCTGCCATCAGCTGTCCTATTCACTTTAAAACTGGTTGACATTCGAGCATTATACCAATTGAAATGAGTGACCTCTCCACTGTTATCAGCAACAAATCTGTATCCATCCTTTTTCTGACGGGTATTTAGAAATGTGTAGATGTATTCAATGCTGTTTGAAAGTCAAAAACATCTTCGTATCTTTTAATATACTTTGGATTCCTAAAAGATTTCATATAATATTAGATTAGAAAAATTTGATTTTTCTCATTTTACCTCCAGATAACAATTGCATGATTTACTCTTTCATTGATCTCATAATCGATCGCTTAGGTCTGGTTCAGACGCCTAACTTTTCATGAGCCTAACCTAGTTCGACTTAAGACCGACCCAAACTAATTAGACCGACTTAATTGATTCAGACGTCAATCTTAATTCCAGCGAAACTAAATAAGAGAGGAGAAAAATGTTCACTATGGTCAAACTTCTTGCAAAATACGTTATTATAATTTAGGCAAATGAAAAGTTCGGCTTCTGAATCAAAGCCGTTCCAAAGTCGTTCCACAGCCGAGATTCCCGGCCGGGGAATATTGCATTTATGATTAACAAAAAACACAAGGGCGGGAGCTACACTATTGCATCCGGGGATAAACGTTATATTAATCTGAGTGATGCCATTGTACTTTTACTTATCGGCTGTCTGCCACAGGGTTGTTATTAAGGTTTTATGTAGATGGTCTCTCAGGAAAGTAACCAGTCATGTATCCCACAAATCCTCATAAATTTGTTATGTTTTACTCATTTTAAAACATGGAGTGGCTGGTTGATTTTACTGTAGATGCAGACCGGCTAAAAAAGCTGGCTGTCGGCTTCTAAACCATTTTCAAAGAAAATGAATTTGAATTTCTATATCTATATTTCGCAAACTAGAAAAACCAGAAAAATTCAGACATGACCTTACACCTGGACCACTAGCTTGAAAAAATTACAACCATGTGCTAGATCCTAAGATTGTATGGATGTTACATGTAAAAAAGACCCAAATTACAGGGTTTTTTTTTTCAATACAAAATTATGTAGAAGTGATTCATATGCTCATTCAGGCTCATCGGGTCTTCATTTTCTAAATATTTTGATAGTAAATTTCAGATATAACATGCACTGATTGGTTATTTGAAAGAGCGTGCTTTATGAGAATTTATTATATAGACACGAGTGTTTTACTGGAAAATATACCACTCGTAAAATTCATAAAACTACATCCGGGACCCGAGTGGTTTATTTTCCATAATCTCACACGTGAGTTTATCGCTGACGTAATTTCGGTAATTTCCCTTCGAAATTTGTAGGCGTCTTGCGTCTTTTGAATTTTACTTACACATTTTTCAAAGCTTTGATTATATTTTGTCATTGTAGAGCCCTATTCAGCTCAGTGTTATTTTTCAAGATTATTGTAAACAATGTCTTATTGTAAACAATGTCTTTTCTGGTCTTTTCTCGTGGCAAAAAGAATATTTTACTCACTTGCTGCGCTCGTTCGTGAAATATTGTTTTGCTACTCGAAAATAAAATTCATATCTTCGCGCCACCGTGTAATATGCTCTATATAAAACACGGAGCTAGAGCTATCACGCCATTTGCCAATAGTTTGTTTTGAAAATGGCGGACGGATCTCCCAGAGGGTCGTTTCAGGTCGTCTGGGGGACAGACTTGGAGGTCGATTTGGAACGGACACAAAATTATTGCGTGGAGTTATTGGCCCTATATTAAAAATATATTATTAAATAGAGTATTCGATGATGTAGTTAGCTTGAGAAATATGAGATATAGTTAGCTGCAGAAACAATGACCTCCCACNAAATATTTTGATAGTAAATTTCAGATATAACATGCACTGATTGGTTATTTGAAAGAGCGTGCTTTATGAGAATTTATTATATAGACACGAGTGTTTTACTGGAAAATATACCACTCGTAAAATTCATAAAACTACATCCGGGACCCGAGTGGTTTATTTTCCATAATCTCACACGTGAGTTTATCGCTGACGTAATTTCGGTAATTTCCCTTCGAAATTTGTAGGCGTCTTGCGTCTTTTGAATTTTACTTACACATTTTTCAAAGCTTTGATTATATTTTGTCATTGTAGAGCCCTATTCAGCTCAGTGTTATTTTTCAAGATTATTGTAAACAATGTCTTATTGTAAACAATGTCTTTTCTGGTCTTTTCTCGTGGCAAAAAGAATATTTTACTCACTTGCTGCGCTCGTTCGTGAAATATTGTTTTGCTACTCGAAAATAAAATTCATATCTTCGCGCCACCGTGTAATATGCTCTATATAAAACACGGAGCTAGAGCTATCACGCCATTTGCCAATAGTTTGTTTTGAAAATGGCGGACGGATCTCCCAGAGGGTCGTTTCAGGTCGTCTGGGGGACAGACTTGGAGGTCGATTTGGAACGGACACAAAATTATTGCGTGGAGTTATTGGCCCTATATTAAAAATATATTATTAAATAGAGTATTCGATGATGTAGTTAGCTTGAGAAATATGAGATATAGTTAGCTGCAGAAACAATGACCTCCCACGGTCCCCATCCCTGTATGTGAAAAGTCTTTCCTTTCAAGAAAGGAATATGCTATTCGTATATCACCCAGTCAAATAAAAAACAATTAGTTACTCGATAGTTAGAAGGGCCTTAAATGCAATGTCCGACAGAAATATACTTCCCAAAATATTATCCGAGAGCATCGTGCAATCGGCAGCCCAATGAGCCCTATTATGGGGGTCTTGTTAGTGCTAACTAAACTTAACATACATTATGCCTTCAGTTTCACCGCAAAGAAACACAATTCTAGAACTATAAATGTCTATTAATCCTTTTCGTTTCTTTGTAGGTTTTTTCAAACCTAACGGAAGACATTTTAGGAGAGATCACTTCCAATAAATTACCGAAAGGACATCATGAACCTGTCTTCAACCTCAAAGCTCTCCACTTTTGCTTGGGGAATGGTACTGGGAGTTTTAACCATGTTCATGTTTGAACACTATAATTACATGCAGTTTATGCACGAGTTTATGGAAACTGGGTACACCGAAAAAATAGCTGCTCAGAGAAATGTTAGCAAGTATAAGACTAACGCGTATTATCGTCCTCCCGAACCAAAAAGATACAGCATTCAACGAGAGGAGAGAGGCTATTTGGCCCCTGAAGTTAACGCGACACGAATCTTATGCTGGATAATGACAACTCCAAACAACATACGTGAACGAGCAAAATCAGTGAAGGATACGTGGGGAAAACGCTGCGACACCCTTCTGTTTTTCAGCTCGAAAGAGGATCCCAATTTCCCCGCCATCGGGCTTAATGTTATGGAGGGGCGTGCAAAGTTGTATGACAAAGCTAGAGCATCATTGGAGTACATTTATAACCACCATCTCAACGATGCTGATTGGTTTTTTAAAGCAGACGACGACACTTACGCCATCATTGAAAATCTTCGTTCTTATCTATCCAAATTGAATACCTCGGAACCTCATTACCTTGGCAGAATTTTTACTCATGATGGTATTTACAACAGCGGTGGAGGATACGTTTTTAGTCGTGAAACACTGCGAAGGTTTAAAAAAGCACTGGGTGAACCAAGCTGCCCACAACACTACCCTTTTGAGGACGTAGCAGTCGGAAAATGCCTCAAGGCACAGGGTGTCGTGCCCGTTAGAACCACAGATTCCAGCGGCAAAGAAACGTTTATGGTATTACCACTTGAGTCTCATCTGATGCCCCTCAGATATAAGTTACCAGGATGGTACCCGAAATTCTATAAAGAGGGCGCTGAATACTGCTCAGAATACCCATATCTTTTTCATAAAGTTAATCCAAACATAATGTATCAGATGGAATACTTAATCTATCGTGTGAAAGTGTGGTCCAAAAACAGTAAATAAAGTACTAGCATGTAGGGATAAAACTACCAATTCAAAACAAACAAAGTAGCTAGACAACGGTCATAAAATTGGCCTGTGAACAGACGGCCGCTTCCCCTAAAAAAAGATAGACATCGATCTTCCTCCCCGATTTTTTTTTTTGAGGGGATTGGGCGTCTGCATACAGGCTATCATTAAATAAAAATATTCCTCTTTTAACTCGCAACATGTCTCAATATTTTACTGTTAAATCGTCTATTGTTGGTTCCTTGTATTTCTTGTATTAATTTTTACAGAACGTGTATAAGCTATTTTCTTTTGACTTCACAATGAAGTCCGGGAACGTCGAAACGTCGCCATCTGTTTTGAATTTCTTACAACGATTTTAAGTAATATCTTATCGCAGTTCCTTATACTCAATGTTTAAACTAAAATCGTTTGTTATTTGGGCGTGGCCCAAATAGAGTAATGGAAACGGCCTGTTTTGACGCAAATGTGCAATAGGCACGCAATACGAGCTAACGAAAACAAGGCAAGTAAACTAGCGAAGCGAGGCGAATGTCTGCCATGCGAACGTCTTGTACAAGGTAAGAGGCATGTGGGAAAGAGAGCTCTGCTAGCACGGCACTTTATCGCACTTTTACGATCTCAAAAGTTAATCTGAATCTTCAGTATTTTTGCCTCATCGAAATTTGGAAGTCTGAAGTCCATGGATGAAATCTATCAAAAATATTTGGAATATTAACGTCGGGTTTTGGTCACAATAAGATCACAAGTAACGAACCTTGAAACACAGAAAGTCACCAAACGGATCGAAATCCACCAATCACAAATCACAAACATTTCCTAAGAGGTCCGCTAAGATGACTGGCGTCTAACGTTTTTTTGACGAGAGGATCGAAATACACCAATCATAGAAAGACAGTTTTTACTGCATGTTTCCTAAGAGGTCATCTGAATTTGCTGTTTTCTTAATGTTATGTCCATTTTCTTTTCCTTATTTTGTGATTGGTCGATTTTGTTAGGTCGAGTGGATAATCCAACGAGGGACGATTTAGATATCGTTTGATCCGAAATTTTTGGAAGCTCTAGTAGTTACTGGGTGATGTGTTCTCCGATAACACCATTTTCCCTTCATGGCCCTGATATTAAGGCATGTTTTGATATCATTTTGTACAGGAAGCTAAAGAAAATGGATACTCCTCCCCAGCTTTCCAGCAAGAAGGCAATTACATCAGGTAAACGAGCAAAGAGTGAGTTGACAGCTGGTAGAAAAGTGAAGCTTTTGCTTTTGTTGTATTTGTATAAAGCTGATATACATGCATCGATGAAGTGAGATATCTGACTAGGATTGTGCCTCTCAACAATGATATTTCTGCCTCAACTACTACACATCATTGCATTTTTGTATTTTTCATTGTATTTTTAATCACTTTTACCCTTTTGACAAACAGCAAGAATAACATCACCAGTTTCTAAAGGCTACTGTTTTCGCGAGCACCGTATGGCCACAGTTTAACAACCTGGATCAGTCCATAAACTGCATGTAAATGGGTGGCAATAGCATACCCGGTGAGAAAGAATAGAAGTCATGCATCTATTTTGGGCTTCGGATCAAACAGGGAAACAAGAGAAAAGTTGTATAATTTCGCCGAATATATTTGGTATTAAGATGCTCCCCAAATAGTTGTCTGCTAGCCTATCTTTGTGTCATAATCAATATCAACCACACAACACCGAGCTGAAACCGTCAAAAGCACTAATGAAATCGGGTGATATTGTTTGATAAAAAAAACGCTCAGGCCGTTAAATTCGCGGTGAATAGAGTAGCGCCTTTGCTTGCGTTAGTATTTTAAATTGGATCGACTAAATACGTAGGCTTAAAATGTGTCTTTTTTTTTCTGCGCGACTGAATAATTCTTAGCCGTAACAGGCGCTTCCCAAGCTAGTTTCTTATCACAAATGGAATTTCCAGCGTTTGAGTGGATACGAATTAGCCGGAAATGAAATATTTCTGCGGCACGGGAGCAGTGGGGACTGGGGCAGTTGAAGTGCAGTATGGGTAGAATGGAGCGCTATAAAAGGGATGCTTATCACGTGGGAAAGCATTCTAGGCCCACACCTTGCTAGCTCATGCTATTTTTTCTTTCTTTCTTTCTTCCTTTCTTTATTTATTTAGTACATATTTGATTTACTAGTGGCAGTTCGATTTTTCCAGGGGTTTCTTAGCTTGTTTGCGTTTCCTTAAATTATTTAGAGTTTGCCGTCCTTTGTTGGAATACTTGTTTTGTAAATAAGGGCGAAGTCCTTCCAGCCTTCGTAGGATGGGCTTTTCAGAGCATGAGCCATGGATCCTACCCAGATTTCCTGCCGAGTTTTTTTCCTTACTGAGGTTTTTTCCGGCAGGTTTTTTCTGGCCTCTGTTCTGACAGTATTCTGTGTAAACTGTCGCGCAGGTCTGTTCTAGTTCTTACACCACATATTTGAATGTAATAGAAGATGTTGTATAATGTATTGTTATATCTGCGTTGCTCGGCCGAAACAGCCAAAATAAACCTAATGGTTTTTCCATTCATGTTGTATTGCGTAGTAAAGCCGAAATCGCTATTTTAAGACCATGTACATTTTTTTGGATACCGGTCTTTAAAATACTGAAAATAGACTTTTCACGCTTTAGGATGATGATATGATTGCGTGAAAAGTGACGCCCCCATCATTTTAGATGCAAAATATGATCAGAGATTAATGAAATATGTATGTTGCGAGCTACCGGGTATCAAGGGTGAGATCGCTGACTTTTACCCAAGATCTCCTTTTTTTGGTGGCTAAGACGGTGCGGCTCGTTATGGCGGATTCGTCTGCTGTCGGATTCACTGGATACGTGTGGACGGAAGCCGTATCCGGAAAGAAAAGTTGCAGATTCAAAAATATCCGGATACGTGTGGACTGGGTCTAAAGCTGTCAAATTTGTCCGCCGCGGGGCGTGATTTGAGAATGTTGGCATTGTTTCGATGCGATTAAGCACACTGCGCCAGTTGCACTGCGAAGAGTTTTGATTGCAGGAGGAGGCGAGTTTGTTAAAGGTAAAGGAATATATATATATATATATATATATATATATATATATATATATATATATATAT